CTCCTGCGCTCTGTATTCTAGAAAATTCCTTAATAAATACTAATTTTTAAAATCACAGTTGATGGTTTTGTACAGATTTTTACAAGTTTACAGCTCGGGCAGTATCGCTTTTAGAAGCAAGCCTAGCTTTTTTTTTCTAATCACAACATTATACTTATTGATCAGGGTAAATTGTTTAGGGAACATTTAGAGCAAAAAATGTGCCTACACTAAAATTCATTTCTTGTAAGAAGTTTTGCTACTAAAAAGTGCCATCGGTGAGCTGAGACGTAGGCCATATGCGTATGCCTGTCCCCGTGGTTTTATGCACCCCGCATAATTTAGCAAAATTTGATCATTTATTTTGCATAATTTCTGATTATTTTCCTTTATCATTCTCTGTTAGAATTAACAGAATCGCATAATTTGGGCTCAGTTTGCATAATTTCAGGATTTTTCTTGAATAAAACGACGGCAGGAGGCAAAATGTGTGCGAAAAGCGAGAAGTGATGTGAACAATCTTATTTTTCACGTTTTGGAGATTTATAGTGTTTTACAGAAATTTATGAGGAAAATTTTTTAAAATCTAACCTTAGTTGTTGTGGGGAAATGTGATTAAGGTAAGACAAATTGATACAAACTGATTTGCAAAGTATGGGTGACATTGATTCACCCGTTTTATATGTATTTGAAGATAAGTTGCGCCTCGAATTTTTGACCATACTATACAAGAAATTAATGTTATAGTAAATACGACTTTTTGCAATAAAGTTCTGAAAACACGCGTCCGTATTAGTAAAAAGAAAACGCCGTACTTGCTTTTAACAGCGATATTGCCCCAGCTGTAAATCTTTTAAAATCTGTAGAAACCACAAGTTTGGATTTTTAATTAGTATCTAGTAAGGAATTTTCTAGAATACAGCCCACAGGTGTTTACAAAAATATTGATATTATGTTAAGACAAATTGAGACAGGTAATTGTGCACAAGGTGGAGAATCTGTGTCCGATAGATGTGGAAATATTTGACTATACATAATATGTTACCCCACGAATTTTTGAACGTACTATAAGTGCTAAGACAAGGGAACTAAATTATGTCAACCGCGGCAAATTGCTGATTTTTACTTTTGTTACACTTCATCTCAGGGGAAAAGGCGATCGTTTTTGACGTTTAAAAGACTTTAATTATTGGGCTTAAGATGTCACAGTTGCGTAGTTGATAAGAACTCGGCTGAGCAAACATCTGACTGAGCTACAAAATTACAAAGTCTTTAGTTTAGTTTTAGTAGAGGTTTTGTGGCGCTCGCAACTGCATAAGGTCATATGAGCTCCACAATTTCTAAGTCTATAAAGTTGTTTTCAAACCAAACGATGGGCAATTTTCCTTCTCGCGAAGCGAAAGAGAGCTCCAAAATAACAGCGACCGTCGAAAAGCATCGCAGACTGGACACTCCTTTGGTGGAATGAATCATCTTGTCTTGTTGTTCAGGATAAATTATGGCCATATTATGAAAAATACCCCCCAACCAGATACGGTTGCTTTTTAAGCACATGGGGGCTATCCCGAAAAATGCTGTTTTGAGAAAAGTGAAGGTAAAGTCTTTGCCCCTTTTCCAGTTTCTTTAAAAGACAAGGAGAGTTTTCTCTTTAACGTATAACCAAACAAATATTCACACCAATGAAACCAAACCTCTCCTATAGGTAGGGCAATGCCCATTTTTGGTGTAGGTCAAGATCTCTGGAAACCCTCGAAATCTGGGTTAGCCCGCTTGTCCGTCAAAGTGACCATATAGTCGAGTGGTATGTGCAGAACAGGCTGCAACACTTTATGCTCGTTTGTCTGTCCCCGCGGTTTTAAGCAAAACAAATTCTGAAATTATTCAAACTGAGCCCAAAAATGTGAAAGTATGCGATTCTGTTAATTTTAACAAAGAAAGAATTTTCCGATCAAATTTTGCTAAATAAATAAATAAATAAATAAGTATTTTAAAAAACGTGCACACGTATGAGGTATTTGAACTAGGGTGCGCTACTTCGCCAGTGTAAGCAACAGGACACACCGCCTCCTTCTTCCTTCATAATATTATGGTTTTTTCTGTTCATATGTCATTACAAAATGTGTCTTTGTTTTAGTTGAGGTATTACGGCGCTCGCAACTGCATAAGGTCATATGAATGCCAGACAAAATGTGTTTAACTTTAATAGCGAATGCAAATATATATATATAAAGGTTAATATTCTGTATTAAACAGTATACAGAGCTCGGGGGAGTATGTTTTTCTTTACACTGAATTTCGCTAACATTCGTAGCAATAAAATATAATGGTACAACATACTGTGTATATAAACATATTTACTTTTATTTAATTTTCTAATTATTACAGCATAACTTTTAAGGAGAGGTGCGGGGGGAGGGT